ATCTAGCTATGGAAAAGATGTCAAGGCCAGTTCTAAGGGATACTCCCTGTCTCTCACAGTAAGTCACAGTGATATGCAGTTTTCAGGAGGAAGTAGGGACCATTATTAAATGTATTGTTGCCTTTCTTGTCTATAAGAAGTTTTTTGAACTAAAGAACAAATTGAGTTGGGCATAGTGGCTCAAGCCTGTGATCCCAGCTATGTAGGAGGCATAGTAGGAGGATCATGGTCTAATCTGATCCCAGGCAAAAACATGAGACCCTATCTGAAAAATAACATAAAAGGACCTGGGGTATGACAGAATGCTTGCCTAGCAAGCATGAAACCCTGGGTTCAAACTCCAGTACTGCTGACAGGGATAGAGACAGATAGATAGATGAGAGAGAGAGAGAGAGAGAGAGAGAGAGAGAGAGAGAGAGAGAGAGAGAACCTAATATATATCAACAAGGCATGTGATGTTAAAAAATACAGCATTGGAAAAATAAAGCTTTGGTATCATTTGAATTCTAGATTCTAAATAAAAAGAATCTTAGTACTACAGAGCTAGTATAGTCAGTGATAAAATTAAATCAGTGGAGAAAACTAGTTAGTCTTGCAACAATGTAAATCGAAGGTTTCCTACAACTAAAGAAAGTCAATCCAACCAAATAGTATTTTATAACCCCCCAAGTTAAAAAATAATTGCTTTCTAGAAATTTCAAGTTCCTATCAGCAAATACTTGCCAAAATACAAAGAAGACATTTTAGGGAGGTCATTTATTTTCTTCAATTCATTACCAATATTTAAAATCCCTGTATTCTGCACATTTGTGATGCCAGTGGAGACTGTGAAGACTTCCATAGGATGGAAGAGAACTGTGAGTCACACCTGAGCAGCCTACTGAACTATAAGACTACTGAAACAGGGCAGACTGCTCAGCCCTGAAAATGTAACTGTATCTGTAACATCTGGCTTCTGTGCTCTAGTGTTAGTGCCTCCCTGCTTCTACCATCTATAAGGTTTGTTTTGCCAATCTTGTTATTTTTAAGTGGCAAGCATTTGTCCTATATTTTAATTATTTAGTGATTTGTTTAAGTGACCTTTTGTGAGGCACCTTGCCTTTTTTTTTTTCTGCTGTAAGTGGACTAGTACTGTCACTGTCCATGCCATAAACTCATTTGATTTTATTCAGTACATATTTGCTGGTATCATATATGTGACCAGCACTCTTCTCAGCATTGTGGATATAGCAGCTGCTAAAATACAAACTCCCCTGTCCTGACAGAATGACACGAAGAATGGGTGAACTATATTGTGTTATCTGGACGAGGAGGGGACTGCAAGTTTTAATCGTTTTTGGCACTTGATATCATGAGATATATAGGGAAAAGAAAATAACTTTAAGCACAAATTTAGCTATACAAGTTTTTCAAGAGTGAGAAAGAGGAAGACAAGAAGAAAGATCAACAAATTGTGAGTTCTGAGTTCTAATCTCCTATTTACTAGCTATGTGACTTTAGACAGGTTGTATAATTACTCAGAGGAATAATGGTAATAATGTTTATGACAAGGTACTGTTGTAAAGATAAATGAGTTGATATGTTATATATTATATATATTATATATATATATATATAAACTGCTTAAAACAGGGCCTTCCACAGAAGTATTTTCTTTTATTATTAAATAACTGCCAATACTTTTGGTAAAAGTAGCCATATATCCATTTCCTGCCTGGGGAATAGAAAATGTTTCTTCCCCATTTCTCCTTACTGTATTCTGCTATACTAAAATAAATCCTGCATGAAACTTCAAAAAAAGTAGCCATACAAATATTAACTCTTGGCTTTTATGATGTGGCTAAGGTATTTATCATTAATGTCATTGTTTTGAGTCAGGCAGTCTTGGAAGTACAGAAGAATGGAAAGAGTATGAAGAGGACTCTGGAATCACAGAGTCTGGTGTGAATCACAGGTCTGTTGAATTTTAGTTACAACAGCACAATCTTAAGCAAGTTATTAACTTTTTTCTGAAGTCTCAGCTACCTCTTCTTTAAAACATCTATTTTATAAAATTGTTTAAGGGGCTAGTAGAGCAATGTAAACAGAAAACTTATGGGACAGACAGTTAATAAAAATTACAACAAATGTTGGACAGAATCTTGTTCTTTTCTAGATAGTGCAAAGGCTCAAGAGACTACCGTTTGAAAGACTCAAAAAACATTTGAGCTCTTAGATATGCAACTGATATTCTCATTTTTACCCAGTTTTAAAATCAGCACCACCCCAACCTGGCACATTTGCTAGGTAATTCTGTTGGGTTAACCTACTATTAAATGCAACTAAAGGAATATAACTTTTCATAAAAACTTAAAATGTTACTTCAGAACATTCTTCAATTGAGGTAACTGTTCCTTTCAATCCACTTAAATCAAAGATTGCATTGATTTTTCTCCTTTCTATACAAGCATTTGAATTTAATAAAAGTATTTTTTCTTAGAGTTGCCAACCTGCACAGGAGAATGGTAGTGTGGATGCTAAGTAGAAGTGTTGGGAAGACCCCCAGCTAATGGGAACCATGTAAAGGGGAGAGTGCCTTTTCTCTTCTCTCCACTCTTACTGAGTGGGGCATCTCTTGGTACCTTCACCCATGATTCTTTTCAAGGCACATGGCAACCCCTTCCCTATGTCACAGAGGAAGAGCAGCACCCCAAAGGTGAGGGATCAGGACACCTGAGTCTAGCCCCAGCTGGCTGATTTATTTACTCTACAGCAGAAGGAAAGCCATGGACACTTCTGAACTTCTTGTTTGTAGATAAGGATAAGAACTGTTCTACATTGTGGGGGTACAGAATTCCATAAAAGGTTTGACAAAACTTTATTAAGGAGCATGAGTTCGACGCTATTGCAATGGATTCTCATAGTGGGATGATGAGTCTCATTTTTTTCTAATTTTTTTTTCCTAAAGTGCACTTAGCAATCATTGTGAAGTATCTTCTTTCCCCTTTTCATGGCTCAAAGTGCTTTATTCTTTTCACTTTTTCAGGGATCAAATAATGGGAAAAATTGAAAAGGTATCATTTCCCCCAAAAGGGATAAACAACCCAAACAAATTTGTCTGTAATACTTTGGGTAAATATAACTCAAATGAGGAAACCAGGACTAGAAAGGTTGATCATTTGTCTCTTGTTGCATGGTTTTCAGGTGACACTAACCAGCTCTGACTCTGTGTCAGCAGACACAAGGGTGCTAGGATACAATAGCAATGACAAAGTAAGGCCCCTGCCTATCTGGAGCTGAAGAGGAGATCAACAGGATGAGTAGAAAATGACACATAGGGTTAGATTAACTACACTTATGAGAAGGGATGTAAGAAAAAAGCAGTAAGACCTGTAAAATTTCAGAGACCCGAAGAAAAACTATTTCCTAGCAATTTCCCGAGAAAAGGATTACATAATCTCTGCTTAGTCCTATGATTAACAACTTTCAAAGTTAAGAACTGCCCGCTTTTATTGAGTAACATGTATGCATTTTACTCTCATGTTATTTTTCAAGAGTGATAAAGATGGTCCTCCCAGATGTGAGAGCCCTTCAAATATTGGCAACCACTTCCAAACAAGATTACTGTCCATGCTTAAAACATAATACATAGTATTAATATAGCCTCAGTTTTTTTGCTTTGAATTTATATAAAAAATGTTGCTGAACTTTCACAGGGGATAAATGGCATGTATTTTCCCTACAAAACATTAGCAGTAGCTCTGAAAAAAATCTAAGCACTTTCAGTATCCTAGTCAAATTGATCTAATAGAAAAAAGAGGAGAGCTATTCATTAATATCAAAACATCATACAGCTAACAGCAAAGGAAACAACAAAATAAAAAGGCGACCTATGGAATGGGAGAAGATATGCGCAAAACATGTATCTGACAAAGGGTGGTATCTGCAATATATTAAAAAAACTCATATAACTCAGTAGCAAAAATGTGAATAATACAATTTAAATGTGCATAGGAAGAGAATTAGACCTTCCTCAAAAGACATATACATGATAAACAGAGCTCCTGCTTATATGAAAAATCCTCAGTATCACTACTGATTTTGATGCGATTCAAACCCATAATGAAATACCTCCTCACACCTGTTGGATGGCTATTATCAAAACCAAATGGACACCTCCTCCACACCAAAAAAAAAAAAAAAAACCAAAAAAACAAAGTAGAGAAAAAGGAACCCTTATGTACTGTTGGTGGAAATGTAAGTTGGCACAGGCACTCCAGAAAACAGTATGAGAGTTCTTGGAAAACAAATAGAACTACCATAGGATTTAGCTATACCACTTCTGGTATATACACAAAGGAACTGAGATCGGGATCACCAACAGATACACACACTCTCCTGTTCAGTATATCATTACTCACAATGGCTAGGAAATGAAAGCAACCCAAATGACCACGGATGGATGAACAGATAAGGAAATGGTTCCATATGAATGTGACAGAATATTACCTGGACTTAGAAAATAAAACCCGATACAGCAGGACAAATGCTACATGATGGCATTTACATGAGGAATCTAAAGTCATCAAACTTACAGAAGAAGAGAGTAGAACAGTGATTGCTAGGGTAAGGAAAAAACAGGCAGGTTTTTGCACCACAGGGTGCAAAGTTTCTGTTATGCCTGATGAATAAGTTTTACAGACCTACTATGAGGCTGAGTGCCTAACGTTAGCCATGTTGTATTGTATGCTTAAAACATCAAGTGTTTTATTTTCACAAGTTAATAATGGTAATAATAACAGTAGGAAAAGAGGGTAGGAGGAAACTTTTAGAAGTGATAGATTTATAGCACAGATTTTGGTGATGCTTTCATGGCTGCTCATCTATTTCTAAACTTATCAAGTTAGATATATTACATGTGTACAGATTTTATATGTCAACTATATCTCAATAAAGTTTTTTTTTTAAATCACACAACCACATCAGAAATAATGGCATGTGCATGCAGAAACATTAATTACCTGTTTCCTTTTCTGCTGGGCCTAAAACATAAGAAAAGAGAGTTTAGGAGAAAAGCAAAGTCTACTTGTGTTGCTCATGTACTGCAGAAGGTCAATCATGCAAAGAAAAGTAAGCCACCTTCCTATTTCTAACTTAAATTTCATTTGTTCTTGGATTGATCCTGAATATAGAATAAAAGCTTTTAAAAAAAAATAGGAGGGGTAAAAACAATGGAAAAGCATAGAAGGTTTTCTTAGCTAACAGCAAGAGTTTTGTATTTTTTAAATAAGACTGCTTGGAAGTCTGACCTGAGTAGACTTTCTGAGTGGATTTCCTTGAATATTGACACACTAGACTGGAGAGGGGTGTCTTCAGGAAGGGAAAAGGTGATCGGGATCCTTGCTCACTCTCTATTTGGTCCTGGTATAGGCTTTTTCCTAAAGTAGACTTGATTTTATATATCCAAATTAAAAAAATTCCTTATTGATTTTTAAATGGACTCTATAGCTACAAAATACAGAGATATACAGAGAAATGTACTGCATTTTTATCAGTATTCTTGATATGATAATGGTAAAAAATTAGATAAAAAACTAAGAATAACAAGATTCTGCCACAGTTTTGAATAGGGTACATAACACTTATATAGAACAATACTGTGCTTATTGAAGTCCACTAACTTTTTTCTCTTTGACAGATATGAATGGATTTAAAATGTCAGTTCTTTCAATCTGTATTCAGAACAAGTTAATACTCCTAAACATGAAAATAATTTGAATGAGTATTCAAAACTGAAAACCAAAGTGTTTCTCTTCCACTTTCCTCAAATGATCATTTAAAAATGTTCATTGCTTTTGCTTTAACACAACATGATATCATAATTAATGATGTTAAACTGGTAGCTAAGGAGGTTTCATGTTGTTACTCTTGTGATATAATATTGGTTGCTATAGCAATGAGATGGCTTTTTTGTTAATCACTCAGGAGGTTGGTTATCCCATGCTTGTTAGAGACCTTTACCAGATTTGGAGAAAAAAGGAATGATAACACAACCAATTATAATGTCTTTTTATTGGCTGGATTTTGATAAAACTATCCTAATATCAACTACTTTTTAGATTTATAACTCAGTAAGCACAATTTTATACTAAAAGTTACTCACATTTATCTAAAGGATGATTTGATTTTTATTTTCAAATGTATTTAACATTGCTACAAACTTTTCCCCTCCTTCCATAATGCTACATAAGCCAGTTTTGTGGTAATCTGGGCAAAGAACTTGAAGTCTTTTCTGTTGCTTTTAAACCAATCAAAAGACTGATGAACAAAAGCTGATTTTTGTGACTTTGCCATAAATTCCAATCTACTTATCTCTAAACATTTTAAATATCAGTGTCCTTCATGAATAAAATGTGAAGAAAAAAAAAGTGCACAGTCCTCTCAAGAGATCTAAACTTTCAAATGCATCAATATCCTCCAAGCAATTAAAAGCTGCAGGAAGTTCTATCAGTTTATTTGAGCCCTTACAGTAATCAACAAGTTTCTTCCTTCTCTGAGTGACCGTGAAGGGCAGAAAATAAAATTACATAATACCACACTGATACTGATCAGGAAAGAATCCCCAGCCCATAGTTTAAATGTTAGACATACTTACAGTAATGTCAAAAATACAAGCCATGAAAACACCTTTTGGTTTCTTGAATACTCAAAATAAGAACAAAGGACAACTTAAGCACGAATCCTGGGTCTTTCATTCAAGCAGAGTCCCAGGAGGCATATTAAAGCAATGAATAGGAAAAAGCTCTTCAGTTCACCAGCTGAGATTTTAATGAGACATTTCCCTTTGCCTCACACAGGATTGTTCAGGAAAGGAAAGGACTTTTCATAGAAAATTCAGTTAACAGGCATTGTTAGCTCTCACTGCCACTTCGGCAATTGCTCACTGCACTGACCTTCTATTTTGGCATATTCTGTGAGTCTAGTGTAATTGATCAAGGCAGCTTTCTCCAGACATTTTCTGACCACTTTCTTCACCTCTTCTGCTGGTATAGGAGTGGCAATATCTTTCATTAAAACCTAACAAGAGAGTGGGAAAGATGAGAGAGAGAAGATAGATGTTGCATAAAATAAATACTAAAAACAAATTACATGAATTATTCTAGACCTGAGTAGGAAGGGGGAAGGGGCACTTAGGAACTTGGGGATAAGTAATGAGTCAAGGCACTTCACAACTGAGAACCTAAAGCTCCAACCTGGGTTCCTCCCATCTAAGTAAGCCTCATTTGTGCACATCAAAACCTCCCACCAGCAGGCCACCATTCAGTGAGACTGTCACTGTTCCTCCAGGGACACACACAGCAGCTGTTTCAGATCAGTATTACAGATCTGGGACAAGTAATAATGTTTACCTTTCACATCCACCATTTAAGAGCCCTAGATCTTTTGAGCAATACACTTGGAAATGATAAGAACAATTCCACTAAGAATAGATATAATTTTTCAGCTCTGAAAATAAAAAGCACTAATCTCACTAATTAAACAATGATTGTGATTTGCTCAGCACATCATGGCAAAGAATAAGAAGAGGGTGGGAAAACATGGTCTTAGTGAAATAAATGCTTATGGCTACCAAATGCTAAAACATATGAAACTTTTTGCAATCTTTTTGAAAAAGGTAATCGATTACCTTTTGCTGAGTTCCTAAATTGTGTTCTTGGATTTTTACCCTTAAAAGTTGTCTTATTGGTAAGGGGCAAATACAATTGTATCCAAAATTTTAAAAAATAATGTAACTTTAATGGTGGGAAGGGGGACGGTACAAGGAGAGGGTGTGGAGGCTGAATATGGTGGAAATATTATGTATTAAAATGGAAAAATGAGACCTGTTGGAATTATTCTACGAAAAGGGGGAAGGAAAATAAAGGAGAATGATGGAGAGGGTGAATCTAACTAAGATATATTGTAAGTGCTTTTGCAAACGTCACAATGTACCCCCAGTGTAAAAGTACTACAACAAAAACCCCTTTATAATGACTTAATAATTTCCTTTGAAACTTTCCTAGTGATAAAACTGCTCACTATAACTTGATTATGCTATTTGTCAAACTCTATTTTCCATATATTTAATGTGATTTTTCATACTTCATTTACATTCAAGTGTAATATATGGGAAAATGTTAATATAAAGAGGACAATGCTTTTATAAAAACTCTAACAATTCTTCAGTCTCTTATTGAAATATTGAAAAAACATGAAAATATCTATTTAATCCTATGTCATTTCATTCTCTTTTCAGTCAGCTTCATCTCAAAGGGTTTTCAATCTCTAATTTATCCTATCATCCAAGCATCAGTGATCTTTGACAATAATTTAAAATTTATTTAGGTAAGATTTTCTTTCTTAAAAACAGCAAAGTTTGCCATTTAAAAAATTTCTTCCCTTATCAAATGCAATTATTCTTCATATTATTCTGACAAATATCTGGCATTTGAACTAGAATTGCACATTAGATTCCTTACTGCCAGAAAAGTCTTTTTGTGAATAGTAAAATATGTATAGTGATTAAACATGTAATATTATATTAAATGTGATTTTTACTAAAATTTCACATTAAGATTAATTTTGTTCTATGTAAAGAATTATGAACTTTACCATTAGGCATCCCATAGTGACAAATTTTAAGTAGCCGAAAAAGCAATTAGAAATTAGAATGTATATGTCTGTCATGGAAGTGAGTCTAGGGTTTAAATTAGGCAATATTTCATATTACCTGAGAGCCTAGGTAGTTAAATTTAGTGCTGGGGAAACTGAATTGTCTTTCATGGCAAAGTGTAGATACAGGGCTGGCAAATGCAGAAAGGGAAATACCAACCCCTGTCTCACATTTCCTTCCATGTTCTTCCAAGGTATTATAGGTATTGAGAATCCATGTATGGATTTTATTTTATTTTTCTGAGTTGTCAGTAAGTGAAGAGACATAAAGAAAAAAAAAAAGAAGAAGAAATGGCTCTTAACATTTCTCTTTCAATTCAGCCAGAGATGTGATAGTGGCTATAACTAGAATAAAGGTCACTGTCATCCTGCCACCTGTCAATGCAGGGCACAGGGAATCTGATGTTACTAACTCTCCCCTGCTGGGAGGAGGTGGAGGGAAGATCTACCATGGAAACCAGGACCCAGAGAGGCTGCCCTAGAGTACCCATGATGGATGCAGTTCCAAAAGGTAAAGCAATCTTTAAAGATTGTATTTTATCTATTATACATTAAAGAACAGAATGAAACAAATATTTTGAAATGCCTGGGTTACATGCAGCTTTTACTATTACAAAATTTTAATAAAACAGGGATATATACATATGTAGTATATAATTAAAAAAAATATATATATATATTCTGAAGACTTCATTTTCATCATCAGTCCCAGCCCTCATCTCTCAGGCCCTTTAGACAATGAAGTACAGCTGCAATGTTTGAAATGTCCTTCTTTCCTGTTCTTAATAGAGATGGTAATACACAATGTAATCTCAAAAGTTAATGTGGCAGAAAAAAAGACAAGAACAAGTCAATAAATCAGGACCACTTTAATTAAGTCATGAGCTATAGGTGATAACCTAGAAATTCCTTTTACCTCTGATATTGAAAAACAGTTGAAACCACATTACTTAACTGTCAGCATCCAACTAGCACATGAGTAGATTTATGGGCAGATGAAAATGATATTTCAAGGTAGAATGCCTGCCTTACCAGCAGGAAGCCCTGAGTTCAAAACCCAGTTTCATTAAAAAAAAATGTAATTCCCTTTAAAAGATCAACAGCCATAAAAACAGAAATACATGCTTTCATTTTAAAAAACAATTTTAGCATATACTTAAAATCTTATTTGCTATTTAGTTTTTTGAGGGAAAATACATCTTCACAACTTAGGGTAACATAATTGGAGTAACAAATTTTAAAATGAAAGGAATTCTGAATAAAAGGAATGACATGTTCATGCATTATTAAGGTGATTAACTCCTATAGACATAAGGACTATTACAGATAGAAGTAAAAATAAAGTTGAGAGAATAATAAAACACAGTTGTGAAGTCTCAAAAGCAGAGATAATTAACTGAAAAATAAACTATTTCAGAGGCAAAAGAAAAAGAAGTCAAAAAGATGCCACAGTATCAGTCTAGAATGGTGATAGAAAGACTTCAGGGAGAGAGAGGGAGAATGAGAATGCAGTAAGAAAAGGTGAGAAACTCATGAAATGCAATTGGCTCAGAAAAGGATACAGATTTGTAAAGAATGAGACTGTCTGCTTACTACAATACACAGCAGTTGAGAACACAAATAGTATTTAGGAAGTAATGTTCAAACTTACTCTTTCAAGTAATGAAAGTGTAGCTTTTAGAGCACCTTCAGGTCGTCCAAAGGGAAAACAGTATCTTTAAAAACAAACAAAAAAGGAACAAAAAGTCAAACAGGTAATACCAAAGAGCTACATGATTCCTGTTTATACTACTTGGCATTAGTAGAGAACCATGAAAAGAGGTTAAAACAGCATTAACTCATCGAGGAAAATCTTAACTACTAAAATTGACCTAGCCCGATTATTTCAAGGTCTTGAAATATAATGGTGCTGTGTTGGAAAATGTTCTAAAGTTTTGTTGATGCATGCACGGAATGCCTAACAGCCAATAAAATAGAACCTCGAGATTATGTGTAAAGGGATAATTAATATGTAATACCTAATAATTTCTGTTTAAGCTCTAAGAGAAAATGAAATGATTTCTCCCATTCCCTCCTATATTTGGGTAAAGCTGAAGATGAAAACATTCACCACATGCATAACTCTGGGACCAACACAGTTTCAGCTCTCCCCTTCACTGGTTACCCTGGTACATGATTCTCATTTACCACCACCCCCACACACCCATGACAGTTGTTCTTTTAGCAGAGTCATTCATCCTAAGTATTTCTAGTCTCATGTATGCTGACTACATGGCAAAAACTGGATGGCAGATAATGGGAATATCCTGAAATCAGGATCAGACAGGCTGGGTACATTTGTGGGCTCCTTTTAAAGATAGGTACCACATGATGGTAACAGGTTTATTGCTCTTGACTAGAGAGTCCTTCTTCAGGTCGGTTTCTACTTAAAGAGCACTGAACATCAGAGCTGTTTCATCTTGCTGGTGACACTTCTGTTGTTGAATCAGTACTGCAGCTCCCTCCCCAAGATCAAGTCTATAGGCTGTCCTTAGGCTGCCACCTTGCTCTGACTTGGAAATCTGCAAACTGACTTGGAAAGAAGTCTATTTATTTCCATGTCCTTTTCAATCATTCAAGGATTTAGTAGACATAATTTCTCAGGCATAATAATGAAATTTTTTTCATACTGTAATTTGAGCAGATTTCCCTAAAAATCATATATGTTCTAAGTTAAATTTGTTTCACAAAAACAAAATTTAAGGAAAACAAAAAGATTGGTTTCTCCATTCCTTTTAAAAGAAAGTAGTAATTGAATTTATCTCAGGATTAGTTTTAGTTTCAAATAAAACTTCACTAGTCACAAATAAGTACAAATGAATACTACATAAATTTAGTCACTCGATTTTTCTTCAGAATATTGCATTTCCCATTTCATTTACTATTAAAAGTGTGCTTGCTGAATTTTGCCTTTCTTACCCCATTCTCCCCTTCTCCCAAAAAGCTACACCCAATTTATTTTAATAGTTTTCTCTGTGCCTTAGTGCTTTTTAGAGCATTAGCAAATTAGCAAACTAGCTTTAATCATTTTCTATACTGTAAAGCTTAATCCGTGTTTAAATAAAGCACCAATTGGGTTCTTGTAGTTCCCTCCCCATGCTTAATCTTTTCAGGGTATTTACATAATCCATCCATTGTCTTTCCTATTGTTTATTTCCATTAACCTGTGGGTGACACATTTTATGAATGGAATGTTACTGATCCCCAGATTACATTTACCATTTCAGGGCTCTGAGGTCCCACTGGGTATGTTCAGAATTAGCATTAGCTGCCCATGATGTGTAAATAATTCAGCACATTTACAGAGTAATCCTGAATCAATAAAGTACAGAAAATAACTACACAGAAGCTTAATTAATCTTTACAAAACAAGTTTTAAAAGAAGGGAATTGTTTTGTTCTGCCTTTCAGGATAAATATTTTGGGTTTTTACCATTCTGACAGCTCTGTCTGTATCAGCAAAGTAGAAAACATTCAATTATCACATAAAATTCAACCACATTTAATACCTAATGTGAATAAATTGAAGTCAGTCTCATTCCCACTTTGGTAAATCAATTTCACAGATAAATGAGCCTGCATAGACCTGTCCTATGATTAAAGCCCTTTCTTTTCCTTACCTATTTTTAAAGTACAGTACTTATTTTTATTAAAGTTACATATGTATATGGTCTAAAGAGGAAATTTCTAAAAGGGTTTTTAATGGAAAATGTAAGTCTTCTATATTTGTTTCATCCTACTCAAGTCATTTCTAGGAAAAAAAGAAAAAGTCAACTTTCAGCTGATTCTTTTGGCAATTAAACTTCATATGCCTAAATTACACACTAAGATTTTTACTTCTTGACTTTTCAGTTACATTTTACTAACTTCCCACTATGGAAGAAAAGCCCTTGGCATTATTATTATTATTATTATTATTATTATTATTATTATTATTATTTTGTAGTGCTGGTGCTGTAACCCAGGGGCTCACTCATGCTAGGCAAGTGCTCTAGACTGCTGTGTCACACCCTTAGCATCTATTTTTTAAGACAGCTTTGTGAACTGCACATATTTAAATTGTACAATCTGGTTAAGTTCTGACATACTTTTCCCTTGTGAAACCATCACTACAAGCAAGTTACGATTTCTGAGTCTTTCTTTCTTCTTCAAGCAGCCACTGATTGACTTTGTCATTTGGATGAGTTTGTATATTCAGATTTTTATGTAAGAGGAAATATATAGCATATACTTTTTGGGTTCGATTTCTCTCACTTGGCAGAAGTCTTTTGATATTTATTCATGGTGTCGTATGTTTCAGTAAGCCATTCCTTTATCTTCCTGGGTGATATTCTATTGTGTAGAATAAATTGTTTATCCTTTCTGTGTTGATAGTCCTTTGGCTTGTGATCACACCTTATTTATTATAAATAATGCTGGTATGAACATTTATAGAAAAGCCTTTTGGGGGACAGAGGCTTCCATTTCTCTTGGGAAAATTCCTATGAGTGAAATGGGTAGCTTCTATCTACAATAGGTGTTTAGATTATTAAAAATATGCTAGTTTCCAAAGTAGGCTGTACTGTTAATTTCCTATCAGTTGCATTTGAAAGTTCCAGTTTCTCCATCCGCATCCTTGTCAACATTTTTACATTCTTTTATTTTGCTGTTGTTCTGAATTTTTAGCTATACTAACAGGTGGGAGTATGATTTGAATTGAATAGGTTCCATTTGAGTATTCAATAGTTCCAGCACCATTTCTTGAAAAGAAAAAGTATAATTTCCACATTGCCTTTGCATACTCATTGAAAATCAATAGACCATATATGTGTGGGAATCTATTTCTTGACTCTCACTAGCATGCTATCTTTGATTACTGTAGCTACATAGCTTAAAATCAGAAAGTATCAGCACCACAATACCATCCTTCTAAAAAGTTATCTTAAATAACTTGCATTTACATATATACTTTAGAATTGGTTTAACTTCTACCAAATCCTACTAGGATTTTGATTGCAATAGCATTGGATCGATAGGTCAATTTCAGGATAACTGAAACAGTATTGAGTCTTATGACCCATGAATACAATATAGCTCTTACTTTATTTAGATTTTAATTTTTCTCAGCAATACCTTGTATTTTTCAGTGTACAAATTTTGTACATCTTTAATTAGATTGATCCCTAGATATAACTTTTATTGTATTATTATTATTATAAATATCATTTTAAAATTCCAATTTCTGGCATACAGAAAAAATTGATATTTCTATATCTTCCTAAGATCCTGTAACTTCTCTAAACTCACCCGAGAATTCTTTACATTCCATAGGGTTTTCTTCAGAGATGATCATGTCACTTGCAAATAAAAAGTTTTGCTTCTTCCTTTGCAGTCTTGATGCATTTATTTCATTTTCCCTGACTCAATGTACTGGCTAGAACTTCCAACACTATTTTGAACACAAGTTATGCGAGCAAAGATTCTTATTTTAAACTTTAGGTGGAATATATTCAGTTTTTCATCATTGTGTCCTTAACTGGTTGAACACATAACACATAGTAATAATAACCCTAAACCCACTCTTTGGTTTTTGTATTTTTTTAATTCACTATTTCTATTCTGTACATCATTTCCTCTTCATATTTCACTATTTTATAAACCTTTTTCTGTAAACCTGAATATTTTGATTAAGTGTAGAGATCGAACTTTGCTTTGTTGTCGGCTAGACATCTTTGTATTTGCTTAAATACACTTGAGCTTTGTTGAAGAATGTAGTTAAGCAGTTTGATCTATTTGAGTCTTGGTTTTATGCCTCATTAAGACAGACAGGACAGTTTTTATTTTTGGGCTATTTTTTTTTCTGCTGAGGGGGCAAAACCCCATAAGTATTCTCTTCAATACCAGTGAATTAGGTTTTGTACATTGGGTAAAGAAACTAGAAATCCTGGCCCTGTGTTAGCTCTGTGGATTTCCCCCTGTAATCCTTTCATGTGGTACCAGACTTTAGTTTCCTCACAGGTACACAATGGTTACTATTTAATGGAGACTTTTTAATGGGACCCTTTGCAAATCAATCAATCAATCTTACTCTTTGTCATGCTTGTTCTCTCTTGCTCTCTTAGCTCTGAGCTGAAAACTCTGGTTGCCTTGGTTTCTTTGAACTTCCAGCTCTGTCTCTTCAAGTCAGAGAGTTGAGCTTAGGTTCCTCTTCCCTGGGCAATGGTCTGGACACTATCCTGGCAGTATACAGATCAACTGAAGGGCTGGCTTCTTTTGTTTTCCATTTCTCAGGAATCATGGTTACTTACTGCTTTATGTATGATGTCATGAAAACATTTGTTCTGCACATGTTTATCTTGTTTTCCAATTGTATGAGGTAAGAGGGCAAACATAATTCCATTTCTCAATCTTGGACATTAGGAACTTTTTTGTTTATTTTTTAAATGACCACTTTCCCCAATGTAAAATGAACACTTTTATGTGGTGTGACTACCTCACCTTTATCTAACAGTTTACATCATTTTGTGGGCATTGAACCAAAACCTAGTATGAATATTATATTAACTATGTAAATATCCAAGGCAGTTGAGATAAAGTATTTACTATGATTACTTTCTGTGTTCTGTTCAGTATTTTGTTTATAATTCTCAATTTTGATTTAAATTTTCCTTTTTGTATACTTAATCAAATATGATTCCATTCAAAACTCTAAAACAATGCAATCAATACTATCCCAAACTCTACCCAGAGTAAATCTCTTCTCAAAAAGGTACCATGTTTCTTTAACCAGGCCTTCTTCTAGTCCAAACAGGATGCTCTCTGGGTTCAGCTGCTATTTCTGTTTTGGAAAGGGGCAGGGGGTGGTTCCTCTAATACTCATTACTATGCTCCTCTTAACTCTCATTTTGATTTCCTGTTCAAAGATCTTAACTCCTTTATTTCCTCTACAATTTACCAAAGGAAACATAGGAAATATATGTGTGTGTGTTTGTGCGGGTGTATGTGTGTGTAAATATATATGTATATATGTATATTGGTGGTACTGGAGTTTGAACGCAGGGACTTGCACTTGCTAGGCAGGTGCTCTAGCACTTGAGTCACCCCTCCCAGCCCATTTTTGCTTTTAGTTATGTTTCAGGCAGGGTTTTACATTTTTGTTCAGAGCTGGCCTCCTGCCTATGGACTCCCATGTAGCTGGAATGACAAGAACATGCCACCATGCCCAGTTCATCTGTTGAGATCGGGTCTCACTAACTTTTTGCCCAGGCTATTTTTGAACTGAAATCTCCTGATCTCTGTCTGTTTCCCAAGACCTAGAATTACAGGCATGAACCACTATGTCCAACCATGAAGCTTATTTCTTCAAGCGTATGTCTGAAAAATACCTTTATTCAACTGTCATCCTAAATAGAAATTTTTGATGGTACATTGTACTAGGTAGGCAATAATCTTTCCTCAAAAGTGTAAAGTCGCAGATATACTATTTCTGCATATCAGTATTGCTCCTCACATTCAAATGAAAGAGGGGTATAGGTCTTTAAATTCTGTTCACTGCCTGACACTTAGTAAGTGTGCAGTATTTATACCCTGAGCATCTACTTTAATCCATTTTACAGGGTGCCCAATGGGCTCTTTCAGTCTGTAAACTTAAATCTTTTAATTTTGAAAATTTTTTGAATAATCTCATGACCAATTTCATTAACTTAATCTTGCAATACTATGTCTTTATATTGTATGTGTGCCATTTTCATGAATTCCTAAGAGCCTTTATTTGTTCTCTGAGGTTTTTTTCTTTTTTAATCATGTTTTTGTTTTATAGATGCTCTGTCTTTTCAATAGGAGAGGTCAATAATGGGCTTTCTCCTCATTTGCTTCTCCCCATATAATTTTGTTTTTCCCAAATTGCTTTTCACTCCCCTTTGTCTACTTGTATTTAGCTCTGTCTTCCATAATCAAGCCTTTTCTCAAATAGTCTGATGATTTAGGCTATATGATCAGTTTCTAAAGTGTAGTATTAGAAAGCCAATGGAAGCAATGTGAGTGTAGATGGTACTTCAGGATGACGGTCTTTGCAGAGGGGGATATCTGGAGGGGCTGTTTGGGAAGTCTTTGTTGTCTGCAGCTTTAGGTCTTCTCTCTGGGGCTAGTGAGAGACCCAGGGGAAGACACCTGCAATATTCCTGGAAGGTGTAAGCCTGTCTGCCTGATGGCTTTTTGGGAGACAAGTGTATGAGTTGGGAGAGTTGTGTGATTCTCAAATTTCAAAATGAAGAGTTAGTTCACCTCTCTGTTTCTACCTCCACTGTGCCTGGTGTTTGCTCCCTTCTCCCACCTCAGCCTAGGTATCGTCTAATTTACCTTCTCTGGGGAATAAGCCTACAGTGTTTTGCCAGTGTAGGAGAGCTGAATTGAAAAGAGATCTGGGCATTGACATGCTTCTTGAACAGATTAATTTGTTCTTCATTCTTACTTTCTGGGGGTCTTGATAATGACATGTACATTTTGGTGTTTGCATGATGTAAATTAGAATGCTCCTGTTTTCACACTGACAGCTTATGATTTTTTTCCTGGATGTCTAATTAAATATCATTTATCTATCTGATTTTCAAAATATCTTTCAAAAATTTTTTTGTTATTTTTTCCCCTTTTACTCTTCAGAAATACTATTTTATTGTTTTAGTTAGTATCTATAGGATACCAAGCCAGACATGTGTTCAATGTGTCACCTTTTCTCCTTTTTCTTTCCAATTTGCCATCTTTAACCAGAAGTTCATTATTTATGTTTACTTCATTTTGTCTTATTACTTAATGTTATTGAAATTCATTTCTAGAATATAATTGGATCTCAATAAACAAATTACTATTTAAGTATTAATAGTACCATTTTTACTTCTTTAGCTTGAGATCATAAGCAATTTATATTCTTTCTAAATTTAAACATAAGTTTAGAATTCTTATAATAGTTATAATGGATAATTTAAATGCATTAATTTTCTAAATTTGTCTACATGTCAGCTTGATTTTTTTCTATTTCATTTCGGTACTCTTTCTTCTTATCGAGGCTTCTGCAGACTCAGGAAACAATGGGAATATAAGTCAGCCCATCTCAATCAATCAATTTCAATTCTTGCTCTAAGAACACCAAACAAAAGTGAAAAGAATTACAAAGTATATTTCCTGAGAAATTATCTGAAGAAGATATACATGTAAGAGAAAAAAAACTGTAAGAGAAAAGAAGAAACTAACATAATACATAGACAACTATTATTTCCTTACTGTGCAGCTTCCAGGTGGCAGTGTGAGAGACTGAACTCCCTGGGGTGGGATGGCTGTGACTACCCAACCCAATCATGGTGATCCCACTTGAGTGTTAGTGACTGAATGAGGCATCCTTTAGTTTTGGTTCAGAACTGCAGCAATGGCCAATTTAGGGTAAATATGATACGAGAGCCTCCTGGGAGATTCTAACAAAGTTTTTTCATGATATTAAGAGAGCTACAGAAAAAAGAGATAGGTTCTACTATTTTTTTTTTTTTTTGAACACTGGCACATATGGGTACAGAATCAAGAAAGTTTGTAGTTGGCTTGCTACCACTCTGGGGATGAAGCTGTCCCATGAAGGAGGATAATAAATAAGTCTATCTTAAAGCTTTTTCTCCCTGAAATCTGCAACTGCAAAAGAGTAAGCATACAGACTTATAATTTAAACAGTTTGGGTAGGATTTATGTTACTTATAGCTGAAATCACTAACCATGGCAATGTAGACTATTACTGATATAAGGAGATATTTAATTGAGTGATAAGCTCTTTCCTAACCATGGTTCAAAAGGGAAAAATGACAATGATTCTCATTGAAAGACACAAACAATACATTGAAAAGACTCTATACAACCTAAGAGACATCACTTTCAACAGCAGCAAATGTAGAAGCAAAGCTCTGTAAATGCAAAAACCTTCTTTATGACGTCATTTTGTGTATAAATTCAAAAAATATTTTGGGGAGAATTACATCTTAAGTTTGTAAGGTGAATTCAACTCTGCTCTGGGAACACTGCTTTCTGATGTAAGTGGACCGGTCACTTGGGATGAGTAATTCTCAATGTGGGACTGTCCCATGCATTGCATGTCCAAATCCTGTGCTATGTGACCCCCTCTATCACAGGTTATTGTAAGGACAAATATCCTCTCTCATCACTTACCCTGAGCTTACCAGCTGTAATTGAAAATAACTAGTGTACAGGAATAGATGCATAAAATATATATGTGAAAAAAACATACCTAATTTGAGAATTTCTTCTTTCAGAATCATGAAAAAATCACAGAGCCTAAGCTCCTCATATTATAGCTAAGACCATAGAGAGGCCAGAATGGTCATGCAAACAGCATTCAAATAGATAAGTAACAGTTTTGGAGAAATTAACTGAGTAATTTTTTCAATAAATTCCATGAAAAGATTCCTAATTACCTAAGTGTAACACAGCAGACTTTTTGTAAGACATCATACATTAACATGGTAACATTTTAGAAGGTCTGATAAGAAGAGTGGTAGAAAAAGACAGTTATTGGCATATTTTTGTTTCTAACCATTAGGTTCTTTTGAACTAACTAAAATCAGGGGAAAAGAATATCAAAGAGATAGTTATCTTTCACATCTCAAGTGTTTCTTAGTATCTATAGCTAATTATTTTTAAGCAAGAAACTATGCAAGGTCTTGTAGCTTATGTTTGCACAGAATGTAAGTAAAAAGATACCTAATAACTTCAGTGTGTCATAACTATGTTATCAGTGGCAAGTGAAGAATATAGACAGTAACTGGAAACGCCTTCAGAATACTCTGCTGGAGTAATTGAGAAAGGCTCCACTGTGGTGCCAGGACATGAAGGTCTCCTTGCCTGGTGACACTGAGAGAAGAAGGAATATTTACCACAGCTTGAGGGACAAGCCTATGCAAGGATGAAAAGAGCCAAAGGCAAGCAAGAGTTCCAGTGGAATGGACACTGCAGGGGCAATGGCTAACATACAAGAGTGGTAGAAATTGAATGATGGGCTAGCATTCTGCAGATCACAAGTTGAAGAATGTAGATCATATGTTGCAATGTAGGACTGCTGATAATTCTTCAGCAGGGGCAGGAAGATATAATTAACAATAGGAGAATGGAGGGTTTAATAAGATATGGAAAAACAAATACTTATATTGATGAATAAAATATACACCTGAAGTGGCTTATCTGATTTTCTAAAAGAGAAGAAAGTCTCTCTTTTATCTCCTCAAATCTCTCTTTTTCTTCCATGGAAACAGTTCCAATTCCATCAGGCCTGAAAAAGAAATCAGAATCAGTAATTTATATTGATAGAGTATTTACCTTGATATACTTTATGCACATACACATTTCCTAAAAAATCTAAATAATCACAAAAAGCCAAACTAGCCCACAGTCTGCATATTAGTTGTTGCCTACAGTGGAAATTGACTGTAGGTATTTGTAGCCATTTGCTTCATATTTTGAACCAGAATGAATGAATGGCATTATTTTCTTTTAGACAGCCTTCTAGGTAACAGATAACAATAAATACTTTCCAGATCTACAGAAAACAATGGCCAGTCCTTGAGAATGGCAGTTAAAAGTGTTTTATAGTGGCACCAAGCATTTGATCAATTAAATGAATATCCCCTGAATGGAAATAAAAATATATACTGGATGCATGCTAAAATGTCTTAATTGATTCTCTTCCAAATAAAAATTAACCTAATATGATACTGGAGATTTAAGATTAATTGTTGCAAGAAACATATAAAGTTTAAATATGTTAGAGGTTTAGTGCTCTATTGTTTAATAATATGTGGGCAAACGAATATTAGAATAAAAATATATAGAGAGAAGGACTAGCTGTGTTTCTATTTAACATTTCTGTGTTTAACTAAATATCCCTCTGGAATCAGTATGGAAATTAAAAAGAAATTTTTTTTTTTTACTGAGATTAAAATATAAAATACAAAAATTTACTTAACATATCTGTGTTGATTTAATTATCTGGTTAGATAGCAGTCACTTAAAATTCTGAACATATAAACTGCTTGTCTATGTTAACACAGGAAAAAATGTTAATTTTATATTCATTTTAAAACCTGTTTATGTATTTCAACAATCAAACGAGTCTTTTGCACTTGATAATTGATAACAGGCATTTTTTTACCCTTTTAGCTTATTTCTTTAAAGATTATATTTTAATTCCAAATGAAGTATACTTCCCATTCTAAAGTGCCAATTTTAATGCTTAAATATAAAATAGGTAAAAACAAGGGTTATTAAAAGCAAAGAAAATAATGAGTGCTTAACTTTCAAACAAGGTTTTTATTTGATGTCTACCATTTTTGTACATGTATACAGACATATGTACATGTGAGTGAGCATCTATATCTGATACCTATTAACTACCCAATCAGGACAAAAGCAATTAAAGTTACACCTGAATCATACTGACATATGATCTTTTATTTGTATCAGATAAGCATCGTTCAAGTTTGAAGCTTTGTTTCTAACTTAAATAATTTGCTGCCTCAGAAACTTACATGCTATTGGAATTTATGCCTTGAAAACATTTCTTACACTTATAATTCACTTCTAAACAAGGAAATATCAATTATTTAATTTCAGATTCAGAATAAGGTATTAATTACATTTATTCCTTCAGAATTCCTTTTGAATGTTAGCTATGAAAAAACTAACAAAAAAATCTCTCTCAAATACTTTTAGGAAGGAGAAAATACTAATGTATAAGTTATACAGCAGTGAATTATGAGCTAATCCCAGTGTTTGATATTAATTCAGTAATGGATATTTTACATACTGCTTACCATCAGCTTCCTTTGCATAAATGTTAGCATGAAACCTAAATTATAATCTATGAATAAGCATTGACAATGATCACAAAAATTTACCTGTTTTATTTATTTATTTATTTTTCTTATTTATTTTTATTTTATTTTTTATTAGGATATATTCATTGTAGGGATGATTCATTGTGACAATTCCAAACAGGCTTATGTTGTACATTGGCTAGATCATCCCCATTGTCTCTCTTACCTAAGTTTTAAATGAAGTCATTAATCTGGAAATTTTGGCTTCCAACAAAATAATACTACATTATTACATACACAGTAATAAAAACTAGGACCATAAATTACAGCAGATTACTTCACTGAATACGCCTATGCAAACTTGATTTTTAAAAAAGAGCAATAAACTTATCCTTATTTTTCTGATGTCTGACATGGTCCTTTGGCTTAGCTCTCTGACTAATGTCATCTGGCTAGCTGTGAGTGAACTTTCCTATTCAGGCGAATTGTGAAGTGTGATGGTGATCCATGGAGAGACAGCAAGAGGTCCTGTTGCAGAAAACTTCACAGAGCACATTGCCTACCCGATGGAGTTCAGATGATGAAAGTGAGAAAGGTAAGACAGTGGAAGCTCCTTTGTGTCAAGTTTCACTAAGATGAAAGGCAGCATATGGTGAAGAATCATCATTGTACTGAGCTAATGATTCACTTTAGGACAAATCTGACAGATTAAATATAACATTTAACAAATTGAACTGGTTTTATATACATGTTCTGACTTTAGAGGACTATATATGGTAAACTAGATACTGAGTATCAGGTTTAAGAAGTAGTCTTCTAATCTCACTTATTACGAATGAGTGGTAACTTTGCTGCAATGAAGCTTACTGGCAATGTTTCTTCTATAATAATTCTTGCCAAGAAATACAAATACTTCTTGTATCACCACCATTTTTCTTATTACTGCCATTTGATATTACAGAATTCTAAATATGCACTTTGCACTACATTAACTGTATGTATAGAGAATAATAGAATGCTCATAATAGTCCTGTCTCTAGTATGCAAGAGAGGAGGCTGAGAGAGGCTAGGTTACTTCCCCAAGGTCACACAGCTGGAAAGTGCAGAAGGCTGTACTTGAACCTAGGTCTCTGGCATTTCAAAGCCAGTGCTCTTGGAGACCATGCCTTATTCTCTTTCTTATTTTCACACAAAAAAATGAAGAGTAATAAAATATCCTATTAAACCACAGAAGCTATATGTGAGAAGCAAAGTGCTGGAGGTGTTTTAAATATTCTTTCTTACATCAGATATTTTCTACATTTGGATATAGCAGAAAGCTTAAAAGTCAGTAACATTTAAAATATGATACTTCTCATTGACTCAGTGATTCAAGTGAAGAAGACATTCATGATGGAAATCATAAAACTTTTCAATTTTCAAAAATTGTAAAATACATATTTTCAGAAACCTGGAGAGAAACTTAAACCAGTTATGTTGCATGAATTTTTTTTAGTAGATGTAGAGAAACAGAGCTTTAAAAATTATACCTTATATAAGCACTACCTCTAAAACATATCTAGAACCCAATGACCCCTCACTAATTTCACCACTGCTCCTTTGGGCCCAGCCATCATCAGCTTCCTTTAGTACAGCTGTAGCTTCCTTGGTCTTTCTCCATCAGTCTTTTTTTTGTCAAGTACTGGCAATACACTATTGTAAGAGTCTTCAAGCATGCGACATTCACAGAACTCCTTAACTCTAGACTCTAATGACAACACAATGTAGAACCTGAAGCCTTTACGATGGTCTACCAGACCTTTTATGATCTGTGCTTCCTTCACTCACCATCCAACCTTGTCTACCCCCTCACTGTTCTGTTCATGGGCGTCATGGCCCAGACATGGCCTTTGCCAGTGCTGCTGCCTCTGCCTTGGAGCTCTTCCCCTGGATACACACACTGCTGGTTCCCAACCTCTAGTCTCTACTTACAAGATTCAGGATGAGTGAGGTTATCTCTCACGGCCCTATGTGAAGATATAATTTCCCATTCCACAGCCCTTTTTCCCTTTAGTGTGCTTTACTGCTGGCCAATGTATATTGTGCCACCATGCAACATGATGGTTTACTTTTTTATTTATTGTCTTCTCCTTTACTGCTATATCTGTATCACCTAGCACACTGGCTGATATATTGTTGAACACTCAATGCAAATATGCTAAGGAAACACATGAGTGGTATGTATAATATAAAAATATCACTTATATAAGGCTATGAGAATTCATGCATTATTAGTATGTCAAATTATTATTATCTCTTGTTAGTATTAATAGGCTATAAATTATTTGGAAAATTAGTATCATATAACAGTATGCAGAAAATAGAAATTTTGTGAAAAGCAAGCAAAAGCAGGAATTGTAGTGAAGTATTCTGGGTAAAAAAAATCTCTAGCAAAAGATGTGTATATGTACTTAGCCAAAATCTTTAGTGTTTAGCTGTCATGTTAATAGGAAAATAATTCATTTTAAATCTCAAGGATGGAATTTTTCTCAGAGATAACAAAAGAAAAAATAATAATGCTTCTTTGACACTGATTAAAAAAAAGTATTAAAGTGTGGTTATTCAAAATTCCAACATAAAAGGCCAATTTCCTGATTCAAATGTTAGTTGGATTTAACTCTATGACTGATAATTAAATATTAAAGTGGTTTTAATGAGAAGGAAGGCATTCTCATCGACTGAGATTTAATATTTTCATTTTATCTTGGGGTCTGCAGTTACTGAACTTACAATATTGCAATAAAAATATGGTGCTCTATAAAGTGATTTAAGATGTGAACAAACTGCAAAACGTAGACTACAAGGACATACGCTTCTTCTAACTATAGATAAAGTCAAACAAGCTATGATATTAACTACTAATTAACTGAACAGCAAATGTGTTTATGTCATTATTATTCAGTCTTTTTTTTTTTGGTGGTTACAGGGGTTTAAACGGTGCCCCCCAGGCCTACTAGCTTTCCTTGTTTTTAGACAGGGTCTTCTACTTTTTGACCAGGGCCAGCCTTAGAAGACAATGTTCCTACCTCTGCCTCCTGCACGGCTGGGATCACAGGATGCACCACCACACCCAATCCCAAAGACTTTTTTTTTTTTTTTTTGCCAGTACTGGGGTTTTGAACGCAGGGCCTCACACTTGCCAGGCAGATGCTCTAACACTTGAGCCACACCTTCAGCCCTGTTTTGCTTTGTTTTCTTTTGGTAATTTTTTTCAGGTAGGTTTTTGCTCAGGGCTGATCTCAGACCATGATCCTCTTTCCTATGGCTTCTCACATGGCTGGAACCACAGGCATGAGTCACCGTGCCTGGCCTCAGCCTCAAAGAATCTTTAAAACCAGAATCTACACAGTAGAAACTCTGACAGTGATGATTAAAAGACAGTTCCCACATCTGCCTATGGGTCACACTGTTTTGGGGGAAGTCACAACATATATGT